AACACTGAATGAAAATTGTAATTGGTACTCAAACATAACAACAACAACTTGGATTTATACAGCGCCCTCCATGCTGGATGGTGTCTCAGAGCGCTTTACAGTAACGGATCCCAGGACCGAGCCAGGGGGAGGGGGAGGTAGGTGACCAAAGGCGCGGTCGAAAAGAAAGGTCTTCAGCAGAGACCTGAAAATGGGAAGGGAGGGAGCGAGAAGAAGGGAGTGAGGAACGCAGTTCCAGAGCCATGGGGCAAACATGCTAGGAACAGGGAATTTGTGAAAATACTACAGAAATGATTGCCTGAAGTTAATTACCAAATGTACTGATTGATCTTTCTCAGGTTCCCTCATCGTCTATCTTCAGAAAGTAACTGATGAGGGAACTGGAGAAAGTTCATTGAGAGGTTTGCGGTTGCATGCTGTAGCAGCAAAAATAGCTGAGAAAGCAGACAACACACAGGCTTCTGCATTTCTCCATGTGATTGGAGAAAGGCTTTTGAGGTATTTAATACACTTCAATTTGAAAATGAGACAGACGGATGCAAGCTGGAGACTCTCAGAGTGAAGATGAAGAGTACTCACAATTGTGCAATGCCCTTTCATCTCAGAATATGTGGTTATGAATTTAGCTGAATTTGAAGAATGCAGTAACCACATGAATTTTTGCTATGATTAAAAAGACAAGATAAAGTGCTCTGAGACGCCATGCGGCGTGAAGGGTGCTATATAAATGCAAGCTGTTGTTGTAAATGATGGTAATTTCAGTGGACACAAATCAGTTGCAAAGGATAAGCTCATTGTTGAGAGGGTTGGTAACATTTATTGCTGCTTGGTATGCGCCCGGAACAAATGACCTTGTTTTCTTATTTATCTTTATCAATGAGATGGATTGAGTTTTAAGTGCAGTAACTGGTCATCACTAATAATTTTACTTAATTTTCTTTCCTATTTGTAACATGCTGTACATTTGTAACATTTGTAACAAAATTGATGGCTTAATCTCCAGGTTGCCAGTCTGAAACAACCATATGCAAAAAATGTTTTTAATAATATTACTGTTTATTCAAAACCAATTTAAGATGCTATTTAATCATTGCTGATAATAATTCTGCAATGTTATTTTCTTGTTTTTTTCTAACTCCGGTAAAATTTATGTGTTTACTGAACTTGAATGATTATTCCGGAAGGATGTTGCAAAACATTTTTGATCTATATTTTATCCTTCAGATCCCAAAAGCATCATTAACGTTCACATCCTTTGGTCTGTTTGGTTTACTTTGGCGTAGACCTTTGTAATTACTCTTGCAGCTGAGCAATTGATATTAGCAGAAGTTTATGTAAGAGGATCAATATCAAACATACTCTTTAACTGATGGCATGAAGAATGGAGTGGATTTAACTGTTTTGATCTGTTGTGTCACTCGATCTTTTTAGAATTTCATTCATAATTCCACTTTTAAGACGAGTATCACTGAAGGTGCATCATTCATAACTATTCCTATGCATGCATACGTGTGAGTTTTTAGCATGTAGTTTGTCCAGTAATTTTTATGTTACTCCTGTTACCCTGCTTCACTGCTGTAACAAGGCCCAATATCTGGTGTTGGTTACTTGCCTTCAGGACCTTGACCCTTAAACATTTACATGCCCTAATGTTTTGAGCAATACTCCTTTTTGGGGAAGATACGACATCTTGAAGTTACTAAATTTCACAAATTTCACAAGTAGCAAGTCTCTCACAATATTTGTTTCTTCCAAATTACTTCATAAAATTGTTACTGAAAACACGGAATGGCAAAAGCAATAACATGATCAATTGTAGGTTTACAGTAAGCATAACATTACATTATCAGAGAGGGCAAGTGAAGTTGAGAGAGGGCTGCTGCCCATCATAAGCAGATGTAGTGTTGCAAATGTCCCATTCTTCAAATCCTAGAAGATAAGAACAAAGATAGGTTCAGTACTTAGTCATCAGAAAATCCTAAACAGTTATTGTACTACTATCCTACAGACAGAAATAATTTTTTTTTGGATTTGTGATTATTTTTGTAGAACCTTATCATCTTGAAACATTTCAAAGTGTTTTACAGTAATTATTGTTGAGTGCAGTAACTGTATTGTAGGTAAGTAGCATATGTGTTAAAATGCAAATACTACGATCACATTTAACTCTTCCTACAGTGTCAATTAAAAGGAAATTATTACTCTGTAACACAGTTTAATTATAGATGTGCACACACTTACTTGCCTGTTAGAATTACAAAAATGGTGCATACAGAAACTTCCATATCCCCCTCTCTGCTGCCAGGCAGTCCTCCATTTCCTTCTTCCCTTGGAGATAAATATCGCATCAGCTTCCCCAGTTGCTCATTCCAAATCAAGGAACCTATGCCAAACCTTTGCATTTTGTGGGACTTAGAATTCTCCTTTAAATCTTTCATCTGGATTCTGATCACTTTCCTCCATGTTCTACAACATCACTAGTATCAACCACCACCACACCTTTAACACATCTGTAAACCTCACCCACACCTTTGTTACTCTAGACTTGAGTCCATGGTTTATCAAAAAAATTTTTTTTATAATTTTCCCCACAAAATCCACTTTACAGTACATCCTGTAAAGCACTTTGAGACTTCTCAATGATGTGATAAGGCACTGTATCAAATGCAAGGATTTTTTAAAGAGACTTGTAAATAAGTTATTTTTATCTCTTTGGCAATTAGTGTTTTGTTCTTCAATATTCCTCATTAATGTTTGTATCCAGACTGTTTAGCTATTTTACTGAATTGCTTAAGCTGCTTCCATATTGTAAGATTGTAAGATTGAAAGTGATTATCATTGCACACGTGCAGTATTCTCTATTAATCCTCTCTCAGGTTTGATGTGCCAATATTTTCGTTTTAATAAAATCTGAACACTTTAATGCTCACTTAATGTTTCAAATCCCTCTGCTGAAGTTCATAACTGAACCATCTATTTCACAGCTGCTTGATTCCTGTAATGCACAGATTAATAACAAAATATAGAATAAGAAAAATCAGTCTATATCAAGCCCTCTCTACCCCTTTTTTCCAGTCTCCTGAGAGAAAGCTCTGTACAGTTTCTCTCTAATCCCCAAAGGTAGTTGAAAGAAACGCCAGAATATCAATTCAAAAATGTACATTATCCGGCTTTGAATGCCTTGTTTCAAAAAAGGATTGCCCTCCAATCTTGCTAATAATCTCAGTTGCTGTTTTATATTTTTGGCAATCCTGTTTTTGAAGGTGGAAAGATGCCATTGATTCTAACTTGTTTGGTGAACCAGGCAGTCACCCTCATTCTCAGATGAGTGGAGTTTAAGTTGTGTAGATTTTTGCAAATCAGAACTTAACTAATAAAGTGCAGATGATTCCAATTCCATTACACTACTTCATTGGAAACCATTGGAACCATGTGTTGTTCAGTTCCCAAATATAAGTACAAAACGCAAAAGCACACAGCCACACTTCCTCAATGTGTCCATGAAGAGCTGACGAGCCTGTTCAGCAAGAAAGAGGGTGAATTCATGTTTTGGTGACATTTAAATTGATACCTTTAAATACTTATATACGAAGAACATCATGTCACAACAGACATGGCAGTGTAAGGAACAGCTACAGATAAGGGCACTATCTAACATAACTATCTAACATCTTATCTGCAGCTGACTGTTTGTATTTGGGGTACAGAAGCTTCCATCTACAAAGCTGCTAACATTATCAAAAGATTTAAGAATAATAATAATAAGCATTGATGGCTCCACTTGCCATCATAGTCTTTCTAATTCATTTTAATCAGTTGATTTTAAAAAAAGAATTATTAAAGTAACATGACTTATTCAGTTCACAGAGGTGGAAATGGTATGTTTTTCCCAAAATTACTTCCTTTTAACCCAAGAATAATGTTTTTGAGCCTTTACACGCATAGAATATGCACAGACAGCTCTCCAGGTATGTGTTTACATGCCAGATTTTAACCTGGGGTCATTCTTATTGTTCTCTTTGGAATCCAAAGTCTACATGAAACATATATCAAATGGAATCACCCCGGGTTGAAGATGTGGGTTACAAAAATGTTACTGGAAGACTAGTACAAACACATTATCTTAAACTTTTAGCAGCTAGTGCATCGTATCTAAATTGTAACTCCTCTCTGAGGTTAAAACTCACATAAACAGGAGATTAAATTATACCAAACTGAACTTTATTTGTACAAATTAATGTTGTCTCCACCCGAAAAAAAATCTAATTGTATGAACTTTATCAAAATAATACTATTTTCCCAGTTTTGCAGAGACCTGCCATTTTCGATTTCCTTCTTGCCTCACTTACTTGGATAACACCAGTTGTTGAAAGAAACTGCTTGCTTCTTATTCTCTTAAAGGCGGGTAGAACTTTGAGCGGGCCTGGCAAGAAATCTGGAGCAACCAAACACTAGAAAAACATAGCCCTGGGTTGGTGGGTGTCAAATTCATGCCAAAATTGATGTGTGTTTATCATCAAATTCATAGCAGAAGTGCAATGGAGTGTCCCAGCACCTGCACTCTCCCACTGTTAGACCTACTGAAAACATAGCATTGTGATGTGTCAACTCAAGTAAAGTACTAGAATCCAACACAATGACCAAAGCATTAATTTTCCTCACATGCCCCTCACTATGTTATGCCAAGTGGTGCGCCAAGTTAGAGGAAAGCAGCATGCAACAACAAGATTCCATTTGTATAGCGCCTTTCACGTCGGGAGGAGTCTGCAGTGAGGCAGACGGATACAATGCTACCAGTGGGAATGATGGGTTGATATTCTTCATTCATACTAGTGACTATTATAAGTGTAAACAACATTTCAACATTAAAGAGTTTACGTTGTAAACATTTTGGAAGAAAAGTAGTTTAATAGAGAGGGTACTGATAATTTTTCTCTAAATTATCCTGTGCTACATTAATAAATATGATACATTAATTGCAGTGCACCCTGTGTTTTCAGGAGACTGCGACTCGATTTCTAGAGGGTGATGAAATTATTCAACAACTGCGGGAAGAACGGGAACAAAACCTGAAACTGAACAACATTGATGAACAACTTAAAAATCTGCAGAAGGCATCCCAAGAACAAGCTGTAAGTTCAAGGATTAATGTACTGTTTAAAGGTGTATGTTGCAGACTTTGAAGACTTAAAAAACGAGTACTTGCATTTGACATAGCGCCTTATCCATGTCATCAAGAAGTCTCAAAGTGCTTCGCAGGATTTCTTTACTACACTTGCCATGAAATCTATAAAGATAATCTCTGTAGATAATGAACTGATTTTATTTATAGCATAACGAATACCATTCATTTGCAGTGAACATATGATTTTATATTATGATCAGCTATTTGTTTCCATTTTATAATTTCCTTGACGTGCACTAGAATTTTGGAGTAAAGCAGAACCAGGTGTAGAAACAATAAAGTATCATTTCACAATCTGACTGTGAAACCATAATATATATTCTGAGATTTTCTGTAAATAAGAATTTTAAAAATATTGTACTGCCAATCGAGCTTTTAAAACTTTTGGGGACCCATAAAGCTTTCTGGGAACAGCTTCAGCATTCCAAGAGGCCACTCCATGCTTTCAGAGAAAGACATTTTGAGATCCATAGGAGTTCTGGTTAGTTTAGAATAAGTGCTTTATTTGTTTGCAAGACTGGGAATGTCTAGTGCATTTAGCCTTCTCTGGATTGTCATAGAACCAAACATGTGGATAACATTTCAGCCATTTTAGTTGAACACTCAGCCCTCAATGCTGACCCTCAAAAGTTAGTTGCGAGGAAGAAAATTGGGGAGGAGAAGGAAGAATAGTGGGAATGTTTGAAATACTTTGTTCACTGTATGGAGCAAATTGCAACCAGAATATAAATGGCACAGAATTCCATTCTTTGTTTCAATGGTTGTCATCCTTTTTGAACTTGTGAGTGTGAAGAAATAATTAGCATTGACATTCTTGCCTGGTGTTTACAGGCTTCATCAGATTTGATTTTGTATATCAAAATGTACTATGGAGCATGTAATTCTGCCCTTGTTATAATGCCTTACCCTAACTAGGAGAATGAAACAAACCAGAGAATGGGATGTTGTTGGGTAGAAAAAATCCTTATGAGAAAGAAAGAAATATCGCTATGTGTTCAAAGGGTTTTATTCCACAATAGCAGATACCACAGCATGTGAAAAAAGGTTACAGTTACAACAGTGTGAATTAGAGGCAAGTATTATTTATTCAACAAACGGAAAATGGTTTTCGATGCTTAATTTTCACAAAAATCACAAAAATGTGTGACCAGAAATGCATTGTGTTAATAGCATGGATTTTTTTGTTCCGAAATTTGAAGTTTTCTGTAGGTACTTTAGAACTCAGGCCCCTCTTAACAAAATGGTTGGTTTATGGTTGGTCTATGCGGCCTATGGTTGTGTATTTCTCCCTGTGATAGAAGCTGAGTGATTCTTCGGTGAATTCTTTTCACCTCGTAGCCCCTGGAAACCATTCAGTTCTATCTCATTTGATACACTTCATTGATGGTATTATTAAAAAAAAAATTTTGCATTCCCAAACTGTGGTTGCTAAGTGATAAATGAAAGAATTTTTTGGAATAAAAGAAAACAAATGTATTGTTTTATTTATAGAATTAATTGGATTATTGTGGTAGGATATAGCTGGTAGTGAAGACTTTGAATGCATGCAATTTGCTGTGTCATTGTTTAAATTGCAGCCATTAACCTGTTCCAACAAAATAATCTGATTGAATTTACATGTTTCCCAGATACAGTACATATTGTTGTACTGTATTTCCAGGAATGTTTCTAATGCCAATGAAGGAAGATAGTTGACAGACATTCCCAGGGGAAGGGGAGTGACTGGGGCAGATAATTCATTTTGTGCTGTATTATATTGTTGAGTTGTGTGGGAATGTTTCCCCTGTGACAGTGCATGGAAAAAGTAAAACATTTCACAAGTGAGTTTTTATTATTATTAAAAGAAGATTCCGATATTTGTCTTTACCATTGTGTCAAGCTTGTCTTGTACCACCACACTTATTATTGTGGTAAGATTTGGTATTACTCTGTAGGACCTTCTATGACAAATGGAAAGGAGTTCTGGACTCATTTGAGAAACAGCTTGATGTTGTTGCAGCAAGATAGTAGAGTGGATATTCTGTCAGGATGACATCAAATAGGCTGAAGGGTCACCTTCACCCGCATCTCTCTTGGGAAACACATTTCTGTACACCAAGAATTCTAGCTTATGATAACATAACATAACATGTAGGAGCAGGAGTAGGCCATTCGCCCTTCGAGCCTGCCCCGCCATTCAATCATGGCTGATCTTTTAATCTACCTCCAGCTAATAACCTAACCCTGCCTTATCCCCATATCCCTTAATCCCTTTTACAATAAGAAATCTATCTATCTCAGTCTTGAATATGTTCAAGGACTGAGCGTCAACAGCCCTTTGGGGTAGTGAGTTCCATACATTCACCACCCTTTGAGTGAAGAAGTTCTTCCTCAACTCAGTGCGAAAGGGCTGGCGTCTGGTTTTAAGGTTGTGACCCCTGGTTTTAGTTTCTCCAACCAAGGGAAACAATCTCCCACTATCTACTCTGTCATGCCCTTTGATGATCTTATAGGTTTCTATAAGATCCCCTCTAATTCTTCTATATTCTAGAGAATATAGGCCCAAATTGGTCAGCCTATCCTCGTAACTCATCCCCTTCATCCCTGGTCCTAACCTACTAACCCAGCTAACCTATGCTGAACCCCCTCCAAGGCAAGTACATCCTTCCTTAAATGAGGAGACCAAAACTGGACACAGTATTCCAGGTGTGGTCTCATCAGGGCCCTATACAGTTGCAGCAAGACTTCCCTACTCTTATACTCTAATCCTTTCATAATGAATGCTAACATACCGTTCGCCTTCCTAATTGTTTGCTGCACCTGCAGACTAACTTTCTGTGATTGGTGTACAAGGACACCCAAGTCCCTCTGGACGCTAACACATTCCAATCTCTCCCCTTCTAAAAAATAACCCGCTCTACTGTTTTTGCTACCGATGTGGATGACTTTGCACTTCCCTACATTATTCATCTGCCACCTACCTGCCCAATCACCTAACCTATCTATGTCTTGCTGCATTTTTTNAATGTCGTCCTCTGTGTTGACACTTCCTCCTAGTTTTGTGTCATCCGCGAATTTAGATATATTTACTTCGATGTCCTCATCTAGATCGTTGATGTAGATGGTAAATTGCTGAGGCCCAAGGACTGATCCTTGTGGCACTCCACTAGTTACATCCTGCCAATCTGAAAAGGACCTGTTTATCCCTACTCTTTGTTTCCTACCCATTAACCATTCCCTAATCCACGTTAATATGCTCCCCCCAATTCCATGGGCCCTTATCTTTTGGACTAACCTTTTATGCGGCACCTTATTCAATGCCTTCTGGAAGTCCAAATAGACCACATCCACTGATTCACCCTTATCTAGTTTACTGGAAATATCCTCAAAACACTCTATGAGAGGAAGTACAAAAAAACTTCCTTTTTGTAAAGCCATGTTGACTTCACAATAATTATATTGTGCTCCCCTAAATACCACACTACCACATCCTTAATCAAGAATTCTAATTTTTTTCCTATCACTGATGGAAGACTAACTGGCCTATAGTTCCCCATCTTTTCCTTTCCACCTTTTTTAAATAGTGGTGTGACATTTGCGATCTTCCAATCCATGGGGACTGTTCCAGAATCCAACAAATTTTGGAAGATCAGACATAAGGCCTCCACTATCTCATAAGCTACCTCTTTTAAACCCTGGGATGCAAGCCATCTGGACCAGGGGATTTTTCACTTTTTAGCGCTAGCAGTTTCCCTAGCACCAATTCTCTACTAATTTCTCTAAGTTGCTCCCTTTACTTATCCCTGTGGTGCATCTCTATTGTTGGCAGACTTGTTGTGTCTTCTAGGATAACATAATATGTAGGAGCAGGAGTAGGCCACCTAAGAGTGAAGAAGATGATAGACTTTCCTGAGAAAAATTGCACGACAAGTGCAAGAATTTGAAGAAGCTTTGAAATTGGACCTCAAAGACGCTAGTGTTTTTGTTTCTTGAAATAATTGAGGACTAAAGTGGAATAGATAACAATCAGATTAAAGTTGGTATTTTTCTTCAACTGATTACATTCTTATCATCAAAGTGTTTTGTGCTGGTACATTGTTTAAATATACTGGGAATTATTTTCAGATATGTTGGTGCATTCCATTCTTTTCTGCCTTCTCCATTTTGGATATGACATAATATTAATAAGACATAATAAGGCAGTGTTGATATTCCCATCAATGCTTCTCAATTTACCTTTGTATGGTAGTGAGTCCAAGTATGCAATTTCAGTCCTTGGATCAAGCAGATTACATGAAACAATATTTTACAGAACAAATAGGACACAAATTTTTTAAAATCTTTTTAATGTAATAATGATAGCACAGACAAAATAGAAAATCACTTCTTTACATAGTTTTAATGCTTTTGTGTTCTCAGTTATTCAGTTGATTTGTAAATTGGATGGCATCAAAATAGTGTCTATGTCTGCTAAATTCTTAGTTTCATAATTCAGGTCACTAACAATCTGAAATGCTAAATGCTCAGACAAACACATGCATAAAGCAACTCAACTGTCTTCATCTGTGCATTGTATGCTGAATGTTCAGCTAATAAGCAGATGTGTTTATGCTGTGTAAGTTTACCATGAAATATGTTAATTGCTTTGTCGTGACAATGACGCACATCATTACCTCTTTCTCCCTGGATTCATTATTTTGAAAATAACAAGCTTCCAGTGCTCATTCAGAGTATTTTAGAGTTAATTGGTGTAACATATTTATTCTCGGTGTGTTTTGTACCATCCCTGATATTTGACTTGTTTTACAGTGCAACAGAATGTTTAGAAAAAATCTGTTTATTAATAGGAAATGTACCAAATCAAGTATTGCAACACTGAATAAGTTCTCCTTTTGTTTGTGAATTGTTGCAGTTTTATATTTGGTGCAATGTAATGTACTTAACTGTTCAATGACTTGGAAATGTTAT